TTCCAACTGAAACACTTGTGGAGGAGCAAGAATTGTGGCCATTTCCCACCCAGTTTGTGCCCAGTGGGACAGTCCCACCTTGTGAAGAGGCATCTCCAACTGATGGAGGAGTTTGGTGGGACTGGACTTGCTAAAAACAAAAGCTAAAAACAGACTGTCAAGGCTTTAGAAACTTTGCTAAGGACTGGTACCTTATCAAGACACTTTTTATGTTGCTGATCAGTTTAAAGTACCTAAAAGAGGTTGATTTTTAAAGAGCAAACCAGCAGTTCTTGCAGATTAGACTTCCTTAAAGCCCTGATACCTTTTGCAGAGCCTGGTTGTGAGTGATAAAAATCCCCATCTCATAGATATAAACTACACTTTGCGGCTGTTGTCTCAAACTTTAGAGCAGTGAATGGGGAAGGGTTGGTTTTGGGGGGGAACAACCCCACACCAGCCAGGATTACTAAGAAATTCAGGGGTTCCTTAATTGCTTATCCAGCACATGCACATAGATGGCACTTTTAATCCTGCCACTGAGATGATAAACACCTTGCTGGACAGGGAAATGGAGATCCTGGCCCCCACGTCGTCTGATGGAATAAAGAAATGGGAACAATTACATTCCTTTCAATCAATGCATTCAGATGTAAGAAACGTCCTTCTGCTTAGAGGGACTGGAGTAGGAATGGAAGAAGTCTGCAGAAGTGTACGTGCTAATTGGATACGCTAAACTTCTGGCTGATCAGTTAGACAATGGCCAAACTCTCAGTGCTTTTAATGCGTGTGGGATCTGGCTTGTCTGTTGGGTAAGAGCTGTTCCGTAGCCATCCAGGAGTGATTTATCTCTGGGTAATATGATGGGCTCTTGAATTGCAATGAAAATCCCTCTCTTTAACAATAGTTGAGGGTAACCTTATAATAACCTCCTCCACCTTCCCCAGAGAAATGCTTCAGTCAGATAAAGGAATTTGTTATCCGCAGAGAAACATCTGCCCCCTTCCTCCGAAAGGAACGACGTGGAGTGACAGTTACCCTTTCTGCATCATTCTGCATTGCTTTTTAAAAACAACAGCAATATCAAGCTTGGACAGAGTTGTTGTTTTGGGGTTTTTGGGTTTTGTTTTTTTTTTGGTTTTTGGTTTTGTCTTGTTTTGTTTTTCCTACCGGCTTTGGTTGCGGAAAGATCACCTGAGCTGGATTTGTAGCCTTGGGTTTTATTTCTATAATGATGGATGTGGTGGTTAAATGTAATGGAAGAGGTAAGATAGCAGAGCAGAAATTTGGCGCCAAGTGCCCGGCTTTGAAAGAGCCTGCATTCCAGCCTGCCTAAGCGGGGCTAAATGGAAAGATCTGATTAAGCGTCTCAGTGTTGTGACCCTGACCTCAAAGAACACGCCGATTCTCTGGAGGAACTTCATTTCAATTAATCAACTTAACAGCCTGAGTAAATCTGGCTGCATCCATTGAGCTAGAGGAACAGCTCCCTCTCCTTGGAGGGTCTCTGGGATGTACAATCCGAAGGGATGAGGTGGTGTGTGCTGGGGTGAGGGGGTTTGAGATACCCTCATCTTCCTCTCCGTGACTGATGCCAGGCTGGCTGTGGAATAATGGGGAGAAGATGGGAAGAGCTGTGTGAGGCAGGGAGCAGAGCACAGGTGGGAGGATAACCCCTGGAAAATTTCCTCTCTGGGAAAATCATAAGCAGAAGGAGACAAAAGCACCAGAGCAGGAGGTGAGAAGGGAAAAAGTCTTCAGCCAAAGCCTCAGGTGCTTTTCTCAGGTGGTTCTTTGCTGGCTGGTGAAATGGGCCAGCCCAGAAGCTCAAAGGGACTTTGCTTCTCACCCAGAGCCTTGCTGGAGCCTCTTTCCTTGCACCCAACAGTACTTCTCAGGAGATGCCTGTTGGGACCACAGTACTTTGGAGACATATCTGAACTACCGCTGAACATTTCACCGACATTT